ATCTGCTGTCTGCTGGGGGACAAAGCAAGCAGGTGTTGAACTGGGGATTTTTATTTTTATAAACTCCCTGTAGTTTATGGAGTTGTGGTCTGGGGCTAACGAGCGTTTACTGTGGGAGCCATGGCCTTTGTCATTTCAGAGGCGACCAAGGCTGCATGAAGAATCTAGCGTAGGTGACTGAGGGAGGGGTGCTCATCTGGTGTAACTCAGCAGAGCACCGGTCACTTCACGGTCTCACACTGGCGTATATAGATGCTTATTGGTGAGATTAGCAAATCCGTCAATACACGGGGGGCTGGCACACAGCTCCCATGATAAGCTGAGCTCTCTGCTCACCTACCAGATACTGGGGTCCTTAGCTAGTTTTGAACACAAAGATTTTTCATCGGGGAAAAAAACACTCAACTAGTCAATGTTCTTGAGTGTGCTAGTTCTGCATAAACAAATAGAAGCAGCAAAATGATTGTGAGCCAGTTTAGAGGAATCGGATGCACTGGCAGAAAAATAATAAATTGAAACTCAACTAGGAAACATGCAAACTGTACATTTAGGGGGAAATAACCCCAAACTCTTATACTTGATAGAAGGGAGACACCTAGAAAGTCAAGATGCTGAGATTGTTAGAGGTGACAGTGGGTAACAAACCAGACATGAGGTTGAAATAGAATATGGATGGAGGAAAGGCTGGTGCCGTTTCGGGTTGTGTATACAAAGGCAGATGTTCATAGAATCATAGGCGTGGAAGGGACCTCAAGAGGTCATCTAGTCCAGTCCCGTCCACTCATGGCAGGACTAAGTATTGTCAGACCATCCCTGACAGGTGTTTGTCTAACCTGCTCTTTAAAATCTCCAAAGATGGAGATTCCACAACCTCCCTGGGCAATTTATTCCAATGCTTAACCACCCTGACAGTTAGGAAGTTTTTCCTAATCTCCAACCTAAACCGCTCTTGTTGCAATTTAAGTCCATTGTTTCTTGTCCTATCCTCAGAGGTTAAGGAGAACCATTTTTCTCCCTCCTCCTTATAACAACCTTTTATGTACTTGAAAACTGTTATCCTGTCCCCTCTCAGTCTTCTCTTCTCCAGACAAAACAAACCCAATTTTTTCAATCTTCCCTCATAGGTCATGTGTTCTAGACCTTTAATAACTTTTATTGCTCTTCTCTGGACTTTCTCCAATTTATCCACATCATTCCTGAAATGTGGCATCCAGAACTGGACACAATAATACTCCAGCTGAGGCCTAATCAGCGTGGAGTAGAGCGGAAGAATTACTTCTTGTGAAATAATATGTACAAAGGATCAAAAACTATCAATGATTGCAAGTTGAGAAACCCTCCAGCTCCTTGAATGGTGAGCTCCCTCCACCTGCAGAGAGATTGGTTCACAGCTGGGTTTTGTTTTTTTTTAATGTTTCAACTTGTTTATAATCGAAAGGAAATGAAGTTTGTCATACACAATGTTGTCATCGGTAATAATGAACAACATGCCCATTGCAGGAAGAGTCAGCAGGGGATCTTTCTTATCCTTTCACCAGATGCTTCCTATTTTAGCTAGTCAAGGTTATGAGTAAGTGGATAGATACATGTTTGTTCGTGCAAGCAATTGTGTTAAAATAAGCTGGAGGGTCTGAAAAATTAAGCAACACTCCCATTGACTTCAGTGGGGCCAGGATTTCATGTAGGGAAACTTACACTCCCCCATTGGAGTTCTTATCATAATTACACTATGTTACAGAAATACCCTTATTACTGCCCCAGATGCATGACATGGGGAGCCTATCCCCGGGGCTCCAGTGGAGATGGTGGCAGGTATAGATCATGCTACCTACATTGTTTCTGAGGCTCTACTGTTCAGAAATGCTCTGCATTGAGAGAGTCAGTTTATGCACTCCAGCCAGAAGAGGCTGTGTGTAATTTACCTGATTGCTAAACCACATTGCAGAGAGCTTTTCCATTAGCAAACCTGCACATTGTGCAATTAAAAAAAGAGAGCAGCAGTCCACTTCTTTGTGTGCTGGAACTTTAAAGTAGAATGGCCTCTCTGACTGCTGAAGAGGCAACTGTGAGGCAGCTACCACATGGGCGGCGTGCAGATACAGACTGTAACCGAGTGAGCCACAATACAGGTATTCATTCTCTCCTGGAGACTTGATATTTGCTCTTTCTTCCTTGTTTTCCTTAAAGTGAAATACAATACTTTGTCCTGCCTGGAGTGCAGGGGACTGGACTAGATGACCTGTTGAGGTCCCTTCCAGTCCTACACTTGTATGAAAAGTCCGCTAGACTGAGAAATGTATGCTTCACTCTTTCGGAATGGATTAACAGAACACATGGAATGTGAAGTTTCACTCAGAGTGAAGGTTAAAGTGTAATGAGGCAAATTATATTCATTTTACATTATTTAGGGTTACCATACGTCCGGATTTTCCCGGACATGTCCGGCTTTTGGGGGCTC